TGCTTGGAAATGTCCGATGCGAGGGCCTCGACTACACTGGCAGAATCCGTGAAAACCGCGATTGATCTGCTGGATGGTGTAGTGGCAACGATGAAAGCAGCGGCAGCCTCTACCGAAAAGACGGAGTACTGGTCCGGTAGCCGGTGGAATACAGACATTTAAAAGTCTGTAATTCCTATACCGACACGCCCGCGGGCTGCGGAGCCGTCAGAATATCGGATTGTACGACCGATGTATACAGTTCCTTGAAGTTCTGCTACCGATTTCACTAGTGCGGGGGAGTTGGATCCTGCCCTAAACTTCTTCTTAATTGCCAAGTCAATTACGGGTCTGGACAGGCTCCAACCCCTGGCTCCGCACCAGTGGACTCTGGACACTGGGGGAGCTCCAGATTGGCAGTTGCAGAAAAGAGTCCCTCATGTCTTCTCGGCGAAACTTATTGCCCGCTTACAGATAGTTTGTGTGGTCAGTCGGTCGAAAGGAAGCAGTCCACTCTCGATGCAGGCTGCCACGTTAGGTGTGGACGGAAGATGACCAGAACAAATACGGATAGCTTCTCGATACGTGGGAGCGAGTTTGGAGATTAGCAGATCGCCGGCGAGACAAATGATTTCGATGCCTTAGAAAAGACACGGCTCGAGAATTGCTCTGGCAACACGGAGCCGGGTGTACCGGTTACTGCCAGGGTGCCGTCCAGCGATAGAACGGAGAAGATTCAGTCTGGTTTTGCAACCGCTTTTGAAGTCAGATGCTGATCAAGACGAACCCCTAGGACGCGAACTGTTTTTGTTTTAACGGGACAGCGGTTCCGTCGATGATAGGGGCTCTTATCGGCTGAAAGCCGAAGTCCGGTGGACGGTGCTCACAATGATACTGCCCTGGTAGCCACACCCATCTTCCGACGGAGCGCCTTAACGGTGTCACTGATGGTAACGAGAACGATGTCGTCGGCGTATACGAAAATGTATATCTCCTTGGGGAGACCACTGCTATCACCGACCCCTGCGGCACTCCAGTCTCCTCCCGGAATGTCTTGGATCGCTGGTTGCCCAGAATAACTTGAAAGGTGCTATTTAGAAGGAAGTTCTTTACAAAATGAAGTGTGTGCCCACCCAGATCCACCATCTGGCGTATGACGTCCGGCATCCAGGCTCTGTTATAGGCTTTAGAAATATCGAGCGCTGCCAGTATGCATCGTGGACAACCTGCCCAAGAGTTGCGAAGTAAGTATTTGTCCCGTGCCCCGGGCGAAACGCATGTTGCCGATGGTCAAGAAGATTCCGTGATTCAAGGAAGTACATCAATCTTCGGTTAACCATTCTCTCGGTATTCGTTGCCGCACAACAGGTGAGGAAGATGGGTCGGAAATCCTAGGCTTCCCGACCGGAAGAACCCTGCTTCTGGATAGGAACGACCAGGCTGTGCTTCCAAGCTTGGGGCAGTGCAATTCGAGTAATTTTACCTTACCTTCAGCGGGAAGGTTTCGTAGCAGAGGGTAGCCCACCTCGTCAGGACCCGCGGATTTCCCCCTGGCTTTGGAGAGAGCATGTTCAAGCTCGCCCAACCGGAAGGGCTGGTTGAGCTCCGATGGGGTTTCTTCTATCGGTATTTGAATTTCGGCAATAGCGGTTGACGATGCTCCTTTCTGTCGTCGAAAGCGTTCGTCACAGCCCGAAATCGCAGATAGCATAGCGAAGTGATCTCTGGTCACTGAGTAGGCGTGGTGTAGTGCGATACCTCGATTTTTTTTTCTTTTACCGCTGATGGCGTTGATCCTTCCCCAGAGATCAGCTGCCGGTTGGTTTTCATTAATTCCGTTAAGGAATTCTTCGCATCTTTGATTCTTGGCGTCCCGAACGATTTGGCGGCATTCATTTCTCTTGCTCCGGTAGTATGATAAAGATGTTTCTCTATCTGGATGACCATCTGGTAGACGTTTAACTGCAGATTTAGTGACGGGCCCCCACCACGGGAACGCTTTGCGTCCGGGGTTTTGGCTGGTTTCTGGAATTGCCTCGGAAGCCACGCTGAAAATTGATTCAATATAGTCTGAAATGTCAGTTGGGTAAGTGTCCCTGCTTTCTGCAATGATGGCTTCTTGGTATTTAGCCCAGTCAGCCTGGTTGTAGAGCTAGCGAGGCCTGCGAGAGGCTTCCGGCGGATGATCATCGAGCTGGATTCCTATTGGATAGTGGTCACTACCCATAGGGTCATTACAGGTATTCCAGAGAAGTCGGTTAACGATGCTTGAGCTGGCAAAGGAAACATCCACTGACGACTCCCGCTGTCCACTGGTGTAAGTGGGGGACCTATCATTGAGGAGTGTAGTATGTAGTACCCCTATAGTTTGCGGTTGGGCTACCCCAAGCTGGGTGGTAGCCGTTAACATCTCCCAAGAAGATGATGGGTGCTTCGAGGAGCTTGAGCAAATCGGATAATTTGCTATTCAGATCGGGAATCTTACGGCACGGCAGGTAAGCCGAAACTATCATGGCCTTGATAGGGCATTGTAGTCTGACAGCGACGATAGGAAGGTCCGTCGAGAGCGCGGTATGACGGTGAAAGGTAGCGGCAGTCTGATCCCGATTGCAGTAGTGTGGTAGATGTTTTGGGAGCTTCGGAGGATCCAGTGGATCCTGGATGGCGAGGACGGATGGAGAGTAATCCCGTACCAGGATTTCAAAATCGCTCAAGTTATGGAAAAAACCCATTTACGTTCCACTGAATGGCAAAGAGGGGACCAGCCAATAAAGAGCCGGTTGAGTATTGGCGCGGGCTTGAACTGGTGTGAGCGGGTCTTGCAAGTGGGACAGCTGGCAGAGGTTGGTTTCGTGCGGGAGTTGAAGAAGGACTACCTGGAGGGGAAATCTTTACAGACTTATCACGAGAAGGTCATGAAGATGACCCTACCGTCGGCTTGTTGAGCCTGTAGCTGATCATATGCTGCGGCGTTTGATAGTACGATAGCAGGTAGAGAGATTTTGGCAAGTAGTCTCTCCGATCTTCGGAGAGGTTTCGAAACCGTTGCGACGATTCCCCTTCTTAATCTCAATGTCAACGAACTCTCCCTTAGAACTATATCCTCACAATAATTCACTTAAAATTCCCTCAGAAGCAACTTAGAATTCTAGTCAGAAATTCATTTAAAACTCTCCTCAGAATTCCAGAAACTTATCTACAGAATTCAAATTGAATTCTGCTTGCAATACCTTGTGATTTTCCGTGAAATTCTCCACAGAACATCCTAGCAATTCTTCTTTGGATTCTCATTGGAATGCCCTTGAAACATTAACCAGCATTCCGTAGGAATTAGCCCCAGAAAATCACGAAGCGTGTAAGGTCGAACGGCTCGCTCAGATGAGGCACTGAAAGTAGGGGCTCCACCGGAACCGAGATATCCGGAAGTAGTCTGGCTCATCCCTTTGCCCTTCTGTTTTATTGCGTTTTAGAATTTGGTGTTGGATGGGCAGAAACCATCAGGGCACCCAATCGAAGCGATTTGGATGGGGAGTGTGAAAATGTTAACTCCCTGGTTGCTTACATTTCGTGGATAAAGGGCGAGCTCTTCGCCTTATTCATTGGGGCATCTTCCTGTTGGATGGCTTTGGCTCGTTGATATTTGAATGATCCTTGACGACCTATTTTTAAAGCCTAACAGATCTGCTTTTGAATTAGGAGTTGATTTGAAGCTAAGGGATTCCAGAAACATTCGGATCCCTCACGATTGTTCGATTCGCTGAATATTTGTCCCAGGAATCCAATTTTTTTTCCTTCTGAGGTCTAAAGAGTAACAGATTTCGAGAACATGATTTTGGTTCGATTGCATTCTGCCCAAATCCCGAATAAGATCGTAAAGCCAAGATCGATTGCCCTTTTTTATATCATTACTATTGTCAGACCCTCTTGGATCATTCATGACTTGTCCGGAGATGAGATTTGAAATCGTGACTTTGGCGTGAGAGGGCACGGATGTTAAGCACTATGCCGTGGGGCCGCCCCCAACCGATTGCCCTTTAAAGCTTCATCCGACGAACTTAATTCCATAAACTGTGCACGAGGCGCACCTTGCGCGACGATTCCGAAACCATACGAAAAAAAAAGGCACTTATCGACTAGATAGTCAACCACTTAAGTTCATCCCTAACAGATATTAGACGTAATCACTAATCAACAAGGAGTATTAATTGTTTACACAAAAAAATACCACCAAACCCAGCATCACTCAGTCGTCGGTTCAGTTCCATCTTGGATTGAAGCGGGACAAAAATAAAAACCCGCACCCCATCCAAGAGATCGACCGCTTCCCACATTGGACACCCACATCTCAGCGACAAACTTCTCTCCTAAATCACTGCGAGAAGCGGCTGGAGTGGTCCACCAATCCCCTTTCCTCCCCCCGGCCACCTCCACTGATATGATTGGGTATTTACAGAATAATCAAATACTGCGGACAGCGATGGGTTAGCAGAACCATCGTCAGCGAGAGCAGCAAATGCAACTGCAGCGTCGGAAGTGCCAACGGAATCGTCGATGCCAAGCACGACATTAAACTTTTGCCCTTAGTCTTATTGCCTCCATTAGCTGCTGCCTCGTCCCGTTCGCGTTCCTCCCGTTCGAGATCCTCAAGCAGCTGACGGTAGTCATTAATGCCACTACCGCCGCCAACCTTATTCCTACGATTGAGCAAATTTTTGTGCAACTTGGACAGCTTCAGCCTGCGCTGAAACTGGAGATTCTGCTCATCCCGGTCATTTTGTTGTTGTTGTTGTTGTTGGTGTTGTTCCCGATTGCTGTCGTCGCCCGTCGCCAGTTGATCGACGTTGTCGACGACGGCCGCCGCCAACGATGGCCTTCGACAGTGGGTCGCACCGGAGCGGCGCAGATTTCCAAAGTCAAAGTGATCGTGAGAGGGCGATTTTTTCGGCGTGAGGTTGTTGTTAGTTTGTTGGGGGTGGTTAGTAGTTTGAATGGTAGTACTTATCGGGTAAGGGGGTACTGACATCAGTTCCTGCAGTTTGGCAGACTTTTCCGCTTCCTCCTGCCGCAGCTTCTCGTAGTCGGCTGTCATCTGCTGGTGGGCGAGCGATAGCTTCTGGTTGGTGCTGCAATGGAAAGAAAAATCATCAATTAATCAATAATTAGAGCGAAAGGTTGAATATCTAGTACAAAAATACTAACTCCTTCAGTTCGTTGATGAATTCCTGCTTTTCGGAAATCTCATCACGAAGCGTCGCCACCTGTTTCGTGTGGGCGTCCCGCAGTTGATCCATCTGGTTCTCAAACGCAGCCTTCAGTTGGTCAGCCTTCTGTTTCTCTTCGGCGTTCACCGCGGACACCTGCTCGGCGGCCTTCAGCTTCGCGCATTCCTCCCGCAGGGCGTCGACGTTCTCCTCGAGCGTGCGCTTCTTGTTCTCCGCTTCCCGCATCGATTCCTGAAGGGACTTCATGCGGGCCTCATGCTGCGAGATCAATAGTCGGCATTCGCTCAAATCCTTCTCGTACTCTCCGACCTTTTTGTTGGCGTCATGCTGGAGACTCTCCAGGTTGGAGCACCGTTGGGAAACGTTCTTCGCCTCGGACTTCATCTTGCTAATGTACAACCGGGCGACGGTGAATTCCTCTTCCAACTTGCCAGCCGACGCTTCCACGTTCAGCTTCATCTCGTTCTGATCGGCTGCCAGGGCTTGGCCAACCTCCGAGAGATCCCGCAGCAGGTTGCTCAACATCTCGTTGATTCGCTTCTTCTGATGCGCCGACATGTCCTTCAGTTGCTGCAGCTCCGACTGGGCACTGTTCAGCGATGCCTGCTTCTGCAGCAGCTCGTCGTTCACCGAGTCGATTTCCTTGTTCTTCGATTCAATCTCCTGCGACTTTTGGTCATAGTTAACGGCCAGTTCTTCCAGAGCCTGAAGAACTTCCTTAACCTCTTCCTTTGCGCTTTCATTCTCCTGCTGGATGCGGGTCATCTCCGACTGCAGGTTCTCGTAGTCCCTCCTGGTGTTGGCAATGAGCTCTTCCTGGTCCATGATCTGTTCCTTCAGCTTCTCGACGTACTGCGACTGCTGGTTGATTTCCTCATCCTTGTCATCCAGCTGCTGGTACAGTCGTTCCCGTTCCTGCTCCAGGGTAGTTCGCTCGTCGGCCGAAATGGGAGCAACCGGCACCGGTACCTCGATGGGCTTCTCCAGCACTATTTCCACGTTCGGTGTGCTGGCTTCCATGACGTCCTGTAGGTCCAGTTGTTCCTCTAGGTTCACGGTTTCTCCGGCACGCCATCTCGCCAGCTCAGCCTCCAGCTTCTCCACCTTGCCCTTGAGCCGGCCGTTCTTTTCTTTTTCCCGCTCGTAGCGTCGCTTCCACTCTTCGGCCGTCAGCTCCTCGTTCACGCAGACCACGTTCTTGACGGTTTTGGCTCTGTTTGGGAGGAAGAGAAAAACAGAAACAGGGGGAGATTATTAGTTGGATCGCTAGAGCATTGATTGAGTTGATTATTGAAGGCGAGTTGCCTCGTTTGGAAAGATGGTCGTTTTGGTATAAAGGTACAGTTAGCTGGTTCCGATACTGAATTTGCCAAGAGATGGCGCAGTTTCCTTTGTAGGTTGTTGAAATTCAGTATGGGAGAAGAGAGAAAATCAATTGATGTCCAATAATCTCTCGTTTTAAGCATACTCAACGCACACAAAATGGTTTTCTAAGCCCCGCCCATAACAGGATTTCTGACCTTCTTTCTGATTTGGGCGGAGCTTAGAAAGTATTGTTAGTGTTGAGTATGCTAAAAAGGAGGGACTTCGGATGTGAATCTAAATGCATATGTGAAGGTACCAGAAATGTTTTGCAGTGTCAGGTACTCTATTTTGAAGTCTGTGAAAGGGATTTCTAGGTTTTTTGACTGCGTTGTCCTCTGTGAACTACTGGCGGAAAACAGTTTATGTGTGATTTCCTACAAATGACAACAGCAGGGACATTTGATGGCCAAGAAGCACAGAAACCATTTCCTTTGATTAATTTCTGGACAAGGGACACCAATCTTTCAAATTTCCCGGCAGTTCCTTGAACCTTCTTCGAAAGCAATTTTGACTTCGTGTTTGGTATTTTTTTGCCTTTAAGGAAGCATTTCAATTTGTTTGCATTTTGAAATTCTACGATGTCTTACCTTTATTGAATTTTCTTTGAATATATGATCTAGATGTTCCAAGAATTTTCGAAAGATTTCTGTTAACCTGCTCTGAAAATTCGACCTAGTTGTCCCTAAAATGACCCTGAGGGTGGTCACATTGAGAACCGCAACAGGACTGCTGATTCGTCCCTGAACATATCCTGATTCTTAGCCTGACCAAAACCCTTTAGAAAATCCCCAAACTCGTAATCGAATACCTTTGAACTTGATGCACAAATTCACTGAATTTGACATCGAAATTTCCTGTATGTTCCCAAAAAGTTACCCAGAGAAAAAAAATGGCGCACCCAATTGTGCGGCTCATTCGCCAAACACCAACACAACTCACCTCCGTCCGAAGTCCAGCGTCGATTTGGTTTCCGCCTCGTTGAAACTGGCCGGCGAACAGCAGATCACAATGGTGGTACGTGCATTGCCACCGAGCGATTCCTGCAGGATTCGCGTCAGCTTCGAGTCACGGTACGGGATGTGTGTCTTGTTGCCATCGGCCAGCGCCGATATCACATTGCCCAGCGCCGACAGCGATTTGTTGATGTTCTTTGCCTCGTCGAGCACCGTGCCTTCGGCGCCGGTTTTCGAGACCTTCTCCGAACCGGCCAAATCGACCAAGTACAGCTTGCCGGACAGCTTCTTCTGGTTTTCGAGATTTTCCTGCTTCACGTTGATCAGGAACACCGAGTGGGACCGGGACGAGTGTTCGTTCATGTTCGTCACCGCTATGTGCCGGTTGGATTTACCTTCCTCGATCACCTCGAACACATCCTCCGGGCTGGACACGAACCGCTCGGTCGCACCCTTCACGTACGGTACCCGGTTCTTGTCCTCGTGGACGCTGAGGTTCACCTTCGATACGTCCAGCAGATCCCGGATCTTGTCCATGTAGATTTCGTAGTAGGAAACCTTGATGTGGAACTCCAGATTCACCTCCATGCTGTAGATGTGATTGAAGATGTCGTTAACGATACGTGGAATGATGCCCTGCTTGCCCGGATCGCCGATGACGCCCTCCATGGTGTGCGTCTTGCCGGACGACGTCTGACCGTAGGCGAAGATCGTCCCGTTGTAGCCGGCCAGCACGTCGCTGACGATCGACTTTGCAGCCTCATTGTAGACCTTTTCCTGTGTGGCGTTCGGTTTGAAGACTTTGTCGAAGAGGTACACTTTGCCCTGCAAATGGATAAAGAAGGATACTCGGTTAGGGTGGCATACTCTGGATTGATGAAGTACTTTTAAAATTAAAATCTAGTGTGGCATTCGAAGAGGTCGTCTCTAATGGGGGGTGAAGAACCACCCTCTATCCACGAAAAATATGCAACGAAGAACCAAATCGCTTCAGTGACGGTTGGTAGAATCCACAAATGGCCGTCGCTTCTATCAATCTTGTGGTGGAATCTAATGAACATTCTACGACCTCCCTTTTCGGTACCAAAACCGGCAACAAGTAAGCTAAAAAGTTGAACTAAGTCGTCATTTAATTCGAACCCACATTCGCCTAATGAAAACAGTGAAGCACGACCGCAATCTATAATCATATACCACACGTCGCTTCATTTTCCTTTCATTTTCCTCCTTAATATCTACAATATAGACTCACTATGCGACGCTAGGTTTACTGGGTAGATATACTACTTTTTCAACTGAGACCAACAACAACGACGACCGACTGCGACTCATTCATTATCTCCCCCCACTTTTCGCGTTTTTTGTATCGTTGCGTTCACGCTTATAATAAAGCTTAATTTTCCAAAATGGTTATGTTTGATCGTCGCTCGCAGATACCTCCACTCCTCCACCTTACCCACCCGAGCGTACGGCCCTGCGATTGTTTCTCTGTGTAGGTAAAGGTGGCTATTGTACATTCGATCACGATGAGTGCAGTGCACTCACTTCGCCTCGGTTGCGCTTCGGTTTTTGTCGAGATTGAGGTGGCTTATTTTCTTATACAATTGTGCTAATTCGCGAACATAGCGGCTTCCTTTCGCGCGAGGTATGCGCTTACTCGTACTCCACATAAGGCTATGTGGAAGAGCGGAAACAAAACAGGTGAAGCATTGCACGATGGATGGGGAAGAAGAAACTACATTGATGGGAGTATTTCGGGAGGGGTTTTACCTGGAAGAAGTGAAGGTCGATTTCGGGTAAAATAAAAGCCATTTAGAACTCGGATTTTCACACAGAATTCTCCTGGAATACTCCTCATAATTTCCCAGGAAATATTTATTGAGAACTCTAAAAATTATTGAAACTCTCCTAAGTACTCCTGTAAAATTTACCTCAAAACTTCGTTGGAAATGGCCTTGAAACTTTCCTTAGAGTTCTTTTGGTACTATCCTCAGACGTTTCTTTTTAGAATTCCCGTTGGATTCCTCTGCTTCTCTTGGAATTCTACTCACAAGAACCTTGGAGTTCTACTTACAAATCCCTTAGAATTCTCCTCAAAATTAGTCCAAACTCCGCAGGACTCTGTTGGAGCTTTACCTTGAATCTTACTCATGATTCTCGTGGGATTCTACTTAGAACTACCTTACGTTTCATCTGACATCTGGAGTTCAACAGAATCAACTTGAAAGGAATTTTCAGATTACACTCCAAGTTTTCCAAACAAATCTAATATGTCAAACATTTCCCGATTATTAATATTAAGAAAAAAAACACGACTGTTTTTTAATGATTGCAATATCACGTTTCACAGTTTGTAGGGTAAATGGCTCTAATGTTGGCCTATGGATCTAACATTGCAACCCATCGCTTAAATTCTGCAATTTATCAAATTTATCTAGACGTCATTGGGACCGTACTAATGGATATTGCTATTGAAAATTTAGTTGATTGCTGAATTTATGTATGGGCCCAAATTAGGGGCATTTAGGCCGACATTACATCCATTTCCCCTACTTAGAATCAATTTGAACTCTGAAACTCGAGTCCTCTTATGATTTTAAAAAGTCAGAATTTACAAAGTACCATAGCAAAGGGTTTTATTAAGGTCGCATAGTCGAACGCTATTGGGCTGAATGGGTAATGAGCAGAGATGTCTCATTGAATAAGATAGCTGTAAACAACAGTTTGTCACAAATTACTTTACGCAAGATTTTTATACCGCCTTGTGTATTCTTGTTCAACTGTAAGAAAAGCATCATAATACTGCTTGGCTCCCAATGAAGGTTCGTGACAGCTTGATTCTGGTTCCTTTTGACGTTCATGTTTTCGAGTCTGCTTCTCTTTCCCAGATCAAAGTAATGGTCCTTACTTACTAAGGGTCCTGTACCCTCCGGAGGTGCAAAGGGCCAACGTGAAAGACTTCCATCCTGGGCGGCTGCTCGCTTTTGCTTTGGCCTCAGATTCCTATCGACTTGCTTTATTTCCTTGTTGAGGCTTCGCCGCCATGAGCCCCTGGGTCTGCCTCTGCTGCGATGTCCTGCCAGATTCCAATCCAGCGCTTGCTTTCAGATTTCGTTTCCGCCCCATCGAAGTGTGTGGCCGACCCACCTCCACTTTCGCTCTCGAATTTCTGTTGCTATCGGCTTCTGATGACATCGACGATGGAGTTCGGCATTCTAGATTCAGTTGTGAGGCCACCAGGCACGAATTATATACCGCAAGCATCGGTTGATGAAGACCTGCAGCTTCTGAGTGTTCCCCGCGGACACACACCACGTCTCGCTGGTGTATAACAACACAGATTTCACGTTTGAGTTAAAAAATTCGGATTTTAGTGCGTTGATTTATCTGGCTTGATCTCCATACGTTTCGTAAACCCGCAAAGGCAGCCCTAGTCTTCTTGATTCGTGCACCTATGTCGCTCTTGTTCCCACCGTCCGACGCTATTTGGCTGCCAAGATAATGGAAACTTTCGACCTTCTCCACTGCTTGCCCCGCTACCGTAAAGTTGGAAGGGTTTCCCGTGTTGACATCCAACGTTGACGTTAATAGTGAGACCCGCCGCAGAGGAGCATTCGGCTAGGTCATTCAGCTTACTCTGCATATCAGAGCGCCGTTGTGCTAGTAGAGCAACATCATCAGCCAAATCGAAGGCGCTCCATGGTGATAGGCTGCCAAAGCAGCCCACGGTTCGATACACGGTCAATTGTACCCACCATGATCTTGTCGATTACGAAGAGGAACAGTAGCGGAAATAGTATACATCCTTGTGTCACACCAGCGACTACCCGGATAGGGTCAGACAAGGCTCCGTTATGAAGAACTCTGCACGTGAAAACCTGATACTGCACTTCGATGAGGTTAACGATTTTATCCGGGACTCCTTTGCGTCTCCTGGCGCCCCACAGATTCTCGTGATTGAGTCGGTCGAAAGCTTTTTCGTAATCACTGAATACCAAATAAAGGGACTCTTGGAATCCATTTACCTGCTCCAGGATGATGCGGAGTGTGACAATATTGTCCACACAAGATCTAAGATTTACTAAGACGCCCTGCATCCAGTCGGTCGAAAGAGTCGCGATGTTCCAGATATTACAGAATAGTTGATGCAAAATTTGAGCGGATAGCATGGAGTCAGCTTTGAGCATCTCTGCTTATATGCGATCGACCCCTGGAGCCTTGTTGGATTTCATGCTTCGGATAGCTGCTTCAATCTCCTGCAGTGATGGGGCCTCGGAATTGACGCGAGTGATGCGCCGCACCCTAGGCGGATCATACCGAGATGTTGAAGGCTGGTTGGCCGTCGAAACTTGAAGAAGTTGTTCGAAGTGCTCAAACCAGCGTTTCAGCTGGTCAGTAGGTAACTGTCCAGTCGTGTCCTTCACTGGTAGCGGTTTTCTCCCCTTCGTCGGCAAGGGAGTTCACCCACGCTCGCTTGTCCCGTCTGCAAGAGCGCTTGACTTCCTTTTCTAGAGCCGAGTACCATTGACGGGCTTCGTTCTCGCCCACTCTATCGCGACTTTTGCTCCTCTACGCTTCTCAATCTTCCACCAGGTTTCATCAGTGATCCACTCTTTCCTCTGGGTGCGCAGAGCTCGCCCAGATTGTTCTCGCTTGTTTCTATAAAGGCATTCTTGATGGCCGTCCATTGTTCTTCTACGCTGCCACCTTCTGGAACGTGCGCAGCTCGAGTCTCAAGTTCTTCAACGAAAGACCTTTTTTACCGCTGGATCTTCAAGTCGGCGTGTGTTGAACCGCCGCTCAAGTCTCTCCTTCCGTCACTGGATCCGCGCCATGCGTAGGCGCATCTCGCCGAAGGTGATGGTCAAACGCGATGTCGGCGCTGCGTTTATTCCGGATATCAAGAAGGCTCCGTCTCCATTTTCGGCTGATGTAGATGTGTTCGATCTTATTTGTCCATCACGGGAAACACACGTGACTTTGTGCACTGGCCAATGGGGGAAGAGCAAACCCCCAATCACCATGTCGGTATTGCCACAAAATTCTGCGAACAGCTCACCGTTTTCGCCGAAACCATGGCGTCCCATGACACGCTCATAGTCCGTGTTGTCGGAGCCGATCTTTGCATTGAAGTCGCCAGTGTAGATCTTGATGTCACCCTTTGGAACCTTATCCACGACGGCATTCAGTTGACTCTCCTTGTCCTGTAGCTCGGGAGCATCGGTTGGCGCATAACATTGGATTATGGTAAGGTTACGAACCCGTGTTCTAAATCTGGCAACGATTGTCCTCTCATTAATAGGCTCCCACTTGATGAGCGCAGCACTTGCCTGGACGCTAAGTAGGAGACCAACTCCACGATGGCGGGGAGCGTTTTCACCTAGTAGCACCTGGCTCGGCGGCAGTTTGTGTTCTCCAAAGTTTGGTCAACGAACTTCACTCAGTCTTAGGATTTCTAGCTTTATGCGTCGCGCCTCCCAGTGATGGATATACCGAGCACGGAAAGAAAATGTCCAGATCCTGATTATATAAAAGGGTAATCAACACAATAGTTGGGTAAAGAAGAACTGCATTATAACACACCATCGACTGGAAATGCTCTCACAACGTGGGGCTTTAGGTAGTGATGAAAACGTCGCTAGAACTATTCCACAGCCGCAGTCAGTTTATGAGCAACAAGAGGGACGCACATTTTTGCCTGTGGACTTGGAGACATACTTCAAGTCCCCGCGTACATCGTACGGGCTAGGCAAAAATGTGCGTCTATCTTGAAAAACTGTCGCTTTAATGGCCCTTCGCTCATTTTCAACTTCTATTCATTTTTC